TGAACCGGTACTGGGCCATACAGACAGATGCCAGTGTGATATGTTGGAAGGGGTCAATGCCTCGAATCGCTATCTCCTCAACAATATCCCCCCCGACCCCCCTGAAACACTCTCGCTCAGTCATTTCCATCACCTGTTCCCTAAATCGAATACAGGCCTCTCTTAATATATCTACATCTTGTCTGCAATAGTAAGCCAGAGCCTTCTTTAGTTTAAACACGGTACCTGTATTAGCAGAGTGCCATTTCATGAATTCTTCTCTCTCCCCGGGCATCATGGTTTCAGGGCTGTAGTACTTGATTTCAGGGAGTGGCCCCACGTAGTCTTGATTGGCCATTGTATTGAACAAGTGGGGGATGGGATGCTACAAGCTGAAAGGCAACGCCAGATGGAGGTTAAAGAGCAGAGAATGACTCGTGCAGCTTACAAGCGTAAAGAGAAGGAGCAACGTAAAAAAGAGCCCAAAGAGAATTCTTCTGGAAACGCATCACCGCCGGTGGGAGGAGCAAGACCCAAGAGTTATGCAACACATGCAGCACTTTCAGATTTTGATGGTGTCTTCTCCAGGCTGCGTGCCAAGGGAGATGGCAAAGTTTTTGACCTGGAATGTTAATGGGTTGAATTCTCCTCAGAAACGGAAAAAAATCTTTTATTATTTGAAGCAACATACCAATGACGTTATTTGCTTACAGGAAACTCATATCTTACTTAAAGATCAGAAATATCTAGTCAATGCTCGTTTGGGATCTCATTTTGTATCCTATGCTCCTGGAAAGAAAGGGGGAGTTGTTATATATGTTAAACAAAACCTACCAGCTTGTCTGGTAGAATCAGATCCCCAGGGGAGATATGTGATGATTGAACTTGGTATATATGGTAAGAAAGTACTTATAGTGGGACTTTATGCTCCAAATCAGCAACAGGAACAATTTTATAAGCTGTTACATCAACAAATAACATTGCTTGACTATAGATCAGTGGTATTAATGGGTGATTGGAATGGTGTCTTAGATATACAAAGGGATAAGAAAGGTTCCTCTCCCTTTCTTAAACAAGCAAGGTTACCTAAAGCCTTTTTTGATATGAAGGAAGACTGGGAATTAAGGGATTATTGGCGGGAATGTAACCAAGAGGAGAGAGACTTCACTTTTTTTTCTGATAGACACCAATCTTTTTCAAGAATCGACTTTTTTTTGATTACTACGGATTTGTATAATAAAGTAAAGAATGTAAAGATTTTTCCTAGATCATTGACGGATCATAGCCCAGTTTGGATGGAGCTGATTCAAGAGAAAGAGGAAAGGAGATCCTGGAGAGTTAATGAAAATTTGTTCAGACAAGAGAAGAATGTTCAAAAGTTAAAGGAGTGTTTAAAGGACTATTTTGTTTTGAATATGTATAAGGGGACCTCAATGTCAATGGTATGGGATGCAGGTAAAGCATTTATGCGTGGTGTTTTGATAAAAATGAATAATTGTCACAAGCGGAAGCAGATTCAGAAACGTAGAGAACTTGAAGACGAAATTAAATCAAAAGAAAGGTCCTTGATTTTAAATCCTTCTGATGAAAGTATTAAAGAATCTGTAAAGTTATTAAGGTCACAATTTAATATGTTGATAGCAGATCAAGCTGCAATTAACTTATTGTTTATGAAACAAAATACATTTTGTAATGCTAATAAGCCTGGGAGATGGTTGGCTTATCAATTAAGAAAGAAACAGAGACAGAGAATAATAGAGAAAATAAATTACAAGGGTAAATTAGTTTTTCAGAAGGAATTGATCAAAAAATCTTTTTTGGACTATTATCAAAAGTTATACAAATCTACTAACCTGCAACTTCTAGATATAAATAAATATCTAGCTGAGGCAAGTTTCCCCAAATTGACTGAGGATCAGAAACATGAAATTAATGGCTTAATTACCAAGGAGGAAATTGCCTCAGCAATTCAACAATTGAAATTAGGGAAAGCACCGGGTACGGATGGGTTAACAGCTGTTTATTATAAAGCTCTAATGGAGGAGATGATCCAACCATTAAGTGATCTTTTTAATGGTATCTTACAGGGTTTAGAGATTCCTCCTTCATGGCGTAGTGCTTTTATATCATTGATTCCAAAGGAGGATCAAGATCTTACTTTACCAAAAAACTACAGGCCTATATCTCTTTTAAATGTGGATTATAAGATATTTGTAAAAATTCTGGTAAATAGGCTTATGAGGGTCGTGCATCATCTTGTGCATAAAGATCAATCAGGGTTTATAACTGGAAGGTACATGAAAAATAATGTTAGACAAATTATTAATTTATTAGAATATTTAGACAAGAACAACCAAGTTCCTGCAGGGCTCATATTTTTAGATGCTGAAAAAGCATTTGATCAATTGAATTGGCATTTCATGTTAAGAGTAATGGAAGAAATGAATTTTGGCGAAAAGATATTACAAGCCCTTACGGTAATATATCAAAAACAAACGGCACAACTTATTGTTAATGGAGGTTTGTCGGAGGTTTTTATAATAGAGAAAGGTACTAGACAGGGGTGCCCTTTATCGCCATTGTTGTTTGTTTTAACATTGGAAATATTATTGATTAAAATTCGAGAGTCTCAGGAAATTAAAGGAATAGAAGTTAACAAAAAAGAATACAAGTTGAGAGCTTTTGCGGATGACTTGGTTGTTACTTTGTCGCAACCTGATTATTCTGTAGTAAACTTATTACAGTTGATTCATCATTATGGTTTGGTTTCGGGTTTCAAGATTAATGTAAATAAGACTAAAATTTTACCTAAAAATATGTCTAGTCAGCAGAAGCAGATTTTGGCTAACTTGACGGGTTTTGAGATTGTTAATAAGGTAAAATATTTGGGGGTGATGTTGTCTGTTTCTAATGTAAAATTATTTAAAAATAACTATGAAAGGTTGTGGGTCAGGGTACAGAAGGACTTGAAGAATTGGGAGAAGTTGCAATTATCCCTCATGGGAAGAATTGCAGTGATAAAAATGAATATTCTACCCAAGTTTCTTTTTCTGTTTCAAATGTTACCGATTTTGAAAAATGAGATTAACTTAAGTGAGTGGCAGAAGGGTCTTAATAAATTTATTTGGGCAGGGAAAAAGCCAAGGGTTAAGTTTAAAATTATGCAAGACTTCCGTGAGAGGGGTGGACTCAAGGTACCAAATTTGAAATTATATTATGATGCGGTGGTTTTAACACTAATTAGTGATTGGGTAAATTTGACAAATCCGGAGATACTTCATTTAGAGGGATGGGATTTACTTTTTGGGTGGCATGCCTATTTAATATTTAATAAAAAAATGGATTGGGTTTTTAAATCTCATATTTTAAGAATCTCTTTACTTAGGACTTGGAGAAAATATTATAAAAGTGATTTTAAAGTTCCATTATGGGCTATACCTTGGCATGCGATAGAAGGAATAAAAAGAGGTGTAAGAATGGATATGGTGTCTTATAGTCAGCTACTTAGATGGGATGGGCAAAACTGGCAGTTAAGATTACGGGAAGATTTAGCGCAAGAAAATATTATTTATTCTTGGTTCCAATATAGGCAACTAGTAGATAAATGGAAGGTGGATTGTAAATTGGGTTTTCTTAGAGAAGATGAAAATCTTATTAAGCAAGTCAAGGATCAAAGACAAACCCACATTAAGAGAATCTATGGGGTATTAGTTGAAATGGACTCAGAAACGGAATTAATTAAAGACTGTATGATTAGATGGGCGCAGAATTTTGGTGTCCCAGTCTCATTGGATATCTGGGAAACCATCTGGGTAAGAAATGTCAAATTTACACAAGCACAGAACTTAAGGGAGAATTTTTATAAATGTTTTATAGATGGCACCTTGATCCACAAAAAATGTCTCTTATGTACCCTGACGTACAACCCAAATGTTGGAGATGTGGCTATATGGATGCTTCTTATTATCATATTTGGTGGTCATGCAGAGAGATAAAAGCATTTTGGATTAAGATATGGTGGAATATCCAGAGAATTTTTAGAAGGAGGGTAAAATTTACTCCGCAATTATTTTTGCTGGGTATAGTTACAGATTGTGATACAAAGGAGGTTGTATTGATGTTAAATTTGATTACAGCCGCGAGGCTGTTAGTAGGACAATACTGGAAGAAGGAGTCTTTGCCTACATTGCAGGAATGGTTTCTCAAAGTAGCTTATTTGGCGGAAATGGCAAAGATTTCGGCTTTCCTAAAGCAACAAACGCAAGAGAAGTTTCTTGTCGTTTGGGATAAATGGATAAAATTTATACAATTTAGATTGGGTACAAAAAATATCATATAGCTTTTTCATAATTTTTACTTTTATATATAGAGAGATATATATACTTATATATATATATTAATGTTATATATAGATATTCTTTTTTTTATATATAAATATAAATTTTTTAACTTAATTTTTTATTTGTTAATTTTTAATTAAGCCTATATTCTGCTCTGGGAAGCTCAGGGGGGGGAAGGGAGGGTGTTTGTGAGGGGTGGGGGATGGGGGTTTTTTTATATGTAATGTTTAGTTTTTTTTTGTATATGTTGTTTTTTGTTTTGTATTGTTTTTGTCTTTTTGTAAAATTTATAAAACTTTCAATAAAAAAAAAAAACAACAGGAATCAGGAACTTTAAGCCAGGTTTCTGGCTCCAAGTCCTACTTTGGAGTAAGCCAAGGCCCACACCCACTCAAGGCATTAATTGGGCTTTTGGTTTGATCTTTGAACTTGGCAATTTGGCTGCAAACGTTTCGTCTCCATTGGGGGGGGGGGAACCTCTTAAGTGCGCCAAAGCGCCCAATTACCATCCCGAGTTACTAATATTCAAACATATTTCAAGGGATTAATTGTCCATATTGCACCAAGTCAGGTGTGAATGGGTGGGGTAGGTTTCTATTAACCTGGCCAGCTGAGGTCAATTGCTTTCCCTAACCTTAATAAAGCGGTCTTTCAGACAGGGGGGGGGGGGGCTGGAAAGAAGAGGCAGATTACAGCTTGGGCGCTTCTGCACCATGGGGAGGCCTCTTTCCCGCGCTCTCCTTTTGCTCGTCCTCCTAGGACGCACCGCCGGGGCGGGCAGGAGCGACACGTGCCGCCTTGGCACCTACGGAGTGCCGCTGCCGGACAACCCCACGCAATGCCCGTCGCGCCTGGACGCCTCCGGGGAGTGTTCTTTACCTCGAGCCCAAAGAGCCCCCACGAGTCCAGGGAAGGCACGCGCTGCAGACCCGCCGGCGAAGGAGACCAGCCGGCCCTGGATACTCGCTGGGGCCTCGGCGCAAGAGGTTACCCGTTCTCCCACCGACCCATCAGGTCAGGAGTGGTGGTCTACGGCGGTTGGGGAGGGGGTAGTGAGGAAAGGGGTAGGTTGCTGCAGGAAGCTGCCTTGGTTCCCTTCGCTGCGCCGCTTTCGGAGTCTTTCGGCTGCGTAAAGTTCAAAGCGCAAAGTGCGCAAAGCTGTTGGGCGGGAAGGGGGGCCCCCGAGTTCTCCCCCCCCCAGGTGAGGGGAGTCGGGGAGAATCTGCTGGAGATTTGGGGGCTACCCCGCGAGGAAGAAAGTCTTCGGAACTGGCGTGGCCCGAATGACTTACTCTTTTTTTTTCTTCTTAAGGGCGGCCCTCCGACTCGACCATCTTTCTCTCTTCCATTGCTGCGCTGAGCTAAGAATGGAGTGTTGGGTGACTCTCTGTATATACCAGTGGTTCTCAACCTTTTTAATGCCGCGACCCCCCAACCGGTCGTAAGTCGAGGACTACTCAACCGGTCGTTAAGTCGAGGACTACTCAACTGGTGCAGCACCGTTTGCAGAATGGGACTTTTGGCGGGCTCAGCAGGGCAGAGACAGCCTGGGCAATTCCTGTTGGCTTTGGAAAGCCAATAGAATTAGACTCCATTCAAGAGAGTCTACTCTATTGGCTTTCAAAAGCCAATAGAATAAAAGGGAGTAGCACAGCTAAGGAAAAGGGGGGGAAAATGGCGGACTGCGTTGTTTGGCGACCTCCGTGAAATGGTCGTTCAACCCCAAATGGGGTCCAGACCCACAGGTTGAGAACCACTGGTATATACCATCATCTACGCATTTTGCAAAGCCCTTCATTTTAAAAAAAAACCCATTAGATGTATTTAAGTACTTAGTTTTCGGTTTGTAATGCCAAGTTATAGGGTAGTTAATCAAAGTTACGAGATGGGTTTTTTTTCCCCCGCTTGTCCCCGCAACGTGGCCGTTTAGAATGATAGAATAACAGAACTGGAAGAGACCTTGCAGATCTTCTTGTCCACTTCTCCTAACGGGAATCGGCTCTGTGACTCACTGAGTGCAACAGGATTTGTTCACAAGTGGTTTTTTCTTTTTTTTTCTAAACCTTAGAAGCTGGAGTTCTTCTTCTGGAAAATGAGCAATGCAACGAATGGATAGAGGGCCACGCGAAGCCCGTGGAGACCTTCCACTGCCCCACCCAAGATGAATATTGGAAGATATTTTGCTGTGGCACCTGCACGGCCTCCTACTGCTGTTCATCCCCAAAGGAGCGCCTAGACCAGGAAAGCTGTCCGGAGGGTGTTAAAGGGCCAAAGGACCAAGAGACTGAAGACCCCACTGAGCTTTGTAAGATGATGATGTCCATCTCTCACTTTGGGGGCTGTTTGTAAAAGGAAGGGTGTGTGTGTGTAAATTACTATCCTCAAACTTGGCACCTTTGATCTGTGTGGCCGTCAGCTCTTAGAATTCCTCCATCTGCCAGGCAACTTTTGGAGAGCTTGTGTTGAAGCCCTCCTATCTCAAAGCTGAGAGACACGGGGGTCAAATGAGAACAGGAGAACAGCACAGGCTAGTCCTTGGCCATAGCTGAGCCCAAAATTTCTGTTGCTAAGCCAGACATCTGTAAAGTGAGTTTTGTTCCATGTTACAATTTTCCTTGCCACAGTTGTTAAGGGGATCACTGCAGTTGGTAAGTGGGTTACGCGGTTGTTAAGTGAATCTGGCTTCCCCCTTGACTTTGCTTGTCAGGAGGTCACAAGAGGGGATCACATGAACCCCCCCTCAGGGGACACTGCAGCCGTCATAAATACGAGCCAGTTGCCAAGCATTCATATTTTGACCACATGACCCTGGGGATGCTGCAACGGTTGTGTGAAAAATGATCACGAATCACTTTTTTTCCAGTGCTGTTGTAACTTTGAAGGCTCACTAAATGAACAATTGTAAGTTGAGGACTACCTATACCTGGATAACACTATGTAATTGCCTAGTAATTGTCTAAAAGCTAAGCAGGGCTGGACCAGGTTCATACTTGGATGAGAGACTGCTAGGCATTGTGAGGATAACACAAGGGGAAAACTGAAGGAAGTGGTCAAACCCAAACTGTTCCCAAGAAAACCGTAAAGGCGTGTTCATAGGTGTACAGATACGTGAGCCAGTCAAACTTATTTTTACCTCTTCCTAATAATATATTAATATGCAAATACCCCTCTAGCAGTTGGCTGGCAAAATCATCTTTACTCTAAATGTCATTCCTGTTTGCAGAGCACATCATGGTTGTGCTCACCCTGTTAAATACTAAACAGTTTCATTTGCACAGCAGTGAGAAACTTAATTAGGTATTATGGTAGCTAATTCTGCTGCCCAAGCCCAGAGATGGTCAATTAGTATCTTTATTCAGAGTGTGGACTAACCAAATTAAGCCTGTTGTATGAGCGTAGCTGTTGACTCTCAAACCAACATTTGAATCTTTGGTGTGTGGATCCAATCTGCACTGTTTATGCCTCTTGTTATTGCAGACCCAGGCAATTGTTTTATTAATTTAAAATGTATTGGCTGCTCAACTTTGGCTGGTGTCTAAAACTAGGAAAAACAAACATACAAACAGTTGAAAATATAAAGCAGGGAGCCAAGGCTGAAATAATTTGATAAATAACAAATTCAACAACAAAAGCCTTAAATTTCTAATCAACAAAGCATGACTAGTAACCGCAGATAATTGTTAAGCAAATGCAGACGATTTTCGTTAGGAATGGTTTTAAAACATATTTTTATTGCTTAGCGCCGCTCACAATCCAGCCAGACCTTTGTGTTGCAACTTAATCCATGCATGCTAAGGCTCTGCTCTTCTGCAGATGTTGACACTGGCTAGTAAATAACTTAGTGTGTAGGACAGTGATGGCGGACCTTTTAGAGACCGAGTGCCCAAACTGCAACCCAAAACCCACTTATGCATCATCGAGTGCTGGCAGGGTGTGGCCCATTGGCTGGGTGTGGTCCATTGGCTGGATATGGCCAACTGGGGGGTGTGGCCCATTGGCTGGGCATGGCTGCAGTGGTACCGGCAGACTGGGTGGGACTAAAAAGTTCAATCAATCAATTCCAACTTTGCAAGATCTTTTTTTTCCCCCGCAAGAAGTTAAAATTGACTGATTGATCGAACCTTTTTTTTTTTTGCACACGGCGGAGGAGGCCTAAAGCAAAAGGTTTTATAAAACCCAGCTGAAGGCCAAGGACTGGGACAACAGCGCGCATGCCCACAGAGAGGGCTCTGAGTGCCGCCTCTGGCACCCGTTCATAGGTTCGCCACCACTGGTCTAGGATCATATAATGAGCATGGTTGTAGCCTGTAAACCATGGCTTAGCCCATTATTCCCTAGTGAATTCAGCAAGCCATGGTGGCTAGAGGTGAAACTCTGCAAACCCAATGGGCAAATTCATTCACTGTGGTGTGGATTACTGGGAAGACCAAGGAAAGGAAGTCTGTTACTAATGCAGAACAATTTCCTAGAAAGGAGACATTTTGGGGCCTGCTGGAAGAATCCAAGAGGAAGGGGGTTTATGGGGGGAGTGTGCACGGCACCTAAATCTTTAGGAGAACAAATGTAGTTTTCAACTTCCGGTCAAAACTGACCCCAAAATTTCTGTTGCTAAGCAAGACAATTGGTTTTGACTCATTTTACAACCTTTCTGGCCACAGTTGTTAAATGAATCACTCTAGTTCAATTAGGAACCCGGTTGTGAAGGGAATCCTGCTTCCCCTTTGACTTTGCTTGTTAGAAGGTTGCAAGAGGGGATCACATGGGTCGTAAATATGAGTCAGTTGCCAAGCGTCTGAATTCTGATCGATTTTGATCAGGCTGCAGCGGATGTAAGTTGAAAAAACGGTCCTACCTCAGTTTTCCAGTGCTGTTGCAACTTCGAACGGTCACTAAAGTTGAGGACGACCTGTAACAACCGGCTCCCTTATTTTTCAGATTCCGTAAGCCTCCTTGATTTCCTCTTTATAGCAATTGCGCTCAGCACCATATTTTCCATGCTCCTCTGCAGCCTGAAATGTTGGATAGAGTGGAAGGAGGACGGAAGGGAGAGAAGAATGGCCAACGCACAGCTGGATTTGATCCGTGGGATCCGGACCGTATCTGTCGTTGACACTCAGGCTGCACAGGGTGCCTCCGTAACCCCTGATCTTCTATCCCTGGGGGCTGCAGAGTCCCAGAACCCCTCCGAGCAGCCCACGGCTGTGGCCAATGCACCTTGTGGCTCTGGAAATCTCATCCGAGAGATGATGATGTCTCCAGCATTTGCCGTAAGAGGAGGAGCAGGAGGAGGAGGAGAAGAAGAGAACGAGACCGTTTTGTAACGAGAGACTTGAGGAGGAGGAATTAAGCAAGCCCCAAGCTCAGCCCTGAGCGTTGGCGTCGTTCACTTTTTTTTTCTTTTAGCATTAGGAACTGATCTATTTTAGTTTTTTAATGTCTCTGTTTTAGCTGGTGTTGCTCTGTTAGCCTAGAGAATGTCTTTCACTTGTGTGCCACCCATTCCTTGCCCCACACAGCCTTTGGTTTACTCAGGGGTTCTCAACCTTGGCAACTTTAAGACTTGTGGACTTCAACTCCCAGAATTCCTCAGCCAGCAAAGCTGGCTGAGGAATTCTGGGAGTTGAAGTCTACAAGTCTTAAAGTTGCCAAGGTTGAGAACCCCTGGTTTACATGGATTATCTTGTTTCTTCTCCCTCCCTTCACACCACTGAACCCGCAGTCGAGATATTTGAATTGCTCTCTTCCATCTATCCATTGGAGATTGGGGGTTAAAAGATACCGAGATCTCTCAGCCACGATTCCCTGAGGCCTTCTTTTAGCCAACATTATTGCAAATGCTCTGTGAAAAGAACAGGTGATAGTCAAGGATACTTTTCCACTTGGCAGTAAGTTTCCTCAAAACATTGCTTGCATGCAAATGGGGGAAAAGGAAAAATCTCTTTGCAGAAACATCATCGTGTATTAAAGGTACCTTCTGCGCCCCAGCTAAGACTAGGGCTCCCAGAATTCCTAGTTTTGTTGGCTTAGAATACTGGGAGTTGCAGTCCCCATGCCTATCAGAGCAACAGGTGGGATGAGATACTCCTAGCTTAGGGATCAGGTAGAGAAAACCCCAATCTCTTCCCTATCCACCACAAACACACAGCTTTAAATGAGTTGAGAGAGTTCAAATGCAAGTGGAGACACAACAAAGTCAGAGTAAGTGGCCATTTAAAATATTAGGTGGGTGATTTTGCTTTATTATATTTGGTGAAGGGATATGCCTTTTAGAACACACTAAGTGCCTTTTGTTTCACTTTTCTCGTTTGATTTAGCCACTATTAAGAAGACAAAGAGCGTGCCTTTTTAAACAGGAAGGGCTATGTGATTTTTGCCATGTTTTAGCCCTGAAGAAGAATAGATGAGGAATATGAAATGTGTTTTTAATGCAATTGTCAACTGCAAACTTTTATTGTACTGTCAAAGTTTTTATTGTATCTCTCTGAATATAACAATCATCAATAAAGAATATGTGGTTGTGTGATGTTTTAATCCTGGTTTCTGGTGCATTCTTGAATTTCTGAAGAGGGTCCACTCATTATTTGGCATTTTTAGGTCCTGCCATGAATTCTTCTAAAAATATCAAAGGATTTGGGATGAAGTAAGCATCTTTTTGTTATATTCCCACAACAACAGTCTTGTGATGTAGGCTGGACTGACTTGCTCAAAGTCAGCTAGTGAATTTCCATAGCTGAAGGTAGATTTGAACATTCATCCTGTGAGCAACTGTACAACTTTGGCTACCCTGCCTATCTCTAAAGTGCTACCTAAAGACAAAACAATCATCTTAGAAAGGGGAAAAAAAACTAAACCCAAGACAAACACGTGCTGATTCCTTTCCAGATTGCAGGAAAATGAGAGGCCGTGTTCTTAAGCAGGAATGCAAGAGAAAACTGTAAAAGGTGGATAAAATTATGGTATAAAGTTACCTAGTTTTTTTTTCTTTAAGAAAGTCAACTAAAACCAGTCTTGATAAGTGAGCTGCAGAGTGATCATGATGTAAAGTCAGACTGTCCTGACACTTCTAATGCACTGCCAGCCTCCAAACAGCAGAAAAGTATTTACAGTATTCCTTTTTTAAGCTCCAGAAAAAAATATATTTGAAAGCCACTTTCACATCCTGCTCAGCTGTTCTTCCACTGAGATTTTTTTTCCAGTTATCTGGCCCAATGTTTCTCAACTGTAGCAACTTTAAGATAGGTAGGATTTAATTCCCAGAATTCCTCCGTTAACATTGTCCCCTTCTTCTTCGTGGTAGCCTGTGAAATATTGGAACATTGCTATATCACCCCTAATCCTTCTCTTCTTTAGACTCTAGAAATATCCCATTCTTTATATTTTAGCCTCCACCCCATGATAAATTTTGTTGCTCTTCTCTGCACTCTTTCCAGAGTCTCAACGTCTTTTTTTTATAATGCAGTAACCAAACTGCTGTAAGTCAAGGATTATCTGTACAAAGAGACTTTGGAAAAAGTTCCGAAAAGACCAACTAAAATGATCAAAGGCCTGGAGACTAAAATATAGGAAGAACGGCTGCAGGACTTGGGTCTGGCTAGTCTAAAGAAAAGAAGAAATAGGGTGACATGATAGCAGTATTCCAGAGGCTGCCACAAAGAAGAGGGGGTCAAATTATTCTCCAAAGCACCAGAGGGCAGGACAAGAAACAATGGTTGGAAACTGACCAAAGAGAGAAGCAACCTGGAATTAAGGAGAAACTTCCTAACAGTGAGGACAATCAACCAGTGGAACAGCTTTGCCTTCAGAAATCGTGGGCGCCCCATCACTGGAGGTTTTAAGAAGAGACTGGACAATCACTTGTATGAAATGGTGTGGGTTCTCTTGCTTGAGCAGTGGCTGGGCTAGAAGACCTCCAAGGTCCCTTCCAGCTCTATTCTATTCTAATCAAAGAAGGACTGGAGGAATCATAGCATGCTTTAAAATGAAATGCAAAATGCGATTGATTAAGAGCCAGGCTACAGGCTATGGTTAAAGACTTTTTTTCCCTTTATTACATCTATTTTATTGAAATTCATTGATTGAATGGATCATTTCAAATGCGCAAGTATCTTTTAGAGGAGCTTTTTCTACATAGAATAAACTTGACTTCTGTTGTTATCAAATCCAGGTCTACTTTTGATGTTTCTCAGTGTGGCTGCAAGTGCAAAGTTTAACAATGAGCAAAAATGTTAATTAGACCTTATGGTTCAAAGACAAGCAATTCTCTTGGTCCAGAGAATTAATTCAACTACATTTCTACTGCTGTTTCCTTAGTTTGTCTCTTAATATCAAATTCTGCTAGTGAACTATGACTTCAATATCTTTCGTCCCTTGCATAATGGAGTTGAGATCCTGGAAAATGCATAATTAGCTATCTTTTCTCCAGAGATATTTTTACAGATCTGGTGGCAGCAAAGAAGGTTGCATTTTTGGGGTATCTTTCCAAGCCTATATCCTCCACATATGTTGGACTTCATCCGTCATAATGTTCAGGCAGGGGATCATGAGCTTCCGAGCCAAACACGCTTAAAGGATGTTGGTATAGAAAGGGTAGCTTAGAAGTAGGAAGAGATATGAATATTTAAGGCTTGTGTTGCTAGGTTTAGCTTTGGGGAAGCATGAATTTTTTTTCTTTGCACAGGCATCTGCAGAAGGTCAAGAGATGCACATGACAGCATATCTGACCTGCAAAAATCCAGATGATCATTAGAGGACAGCAGAGACATTTTTCCTCCATCGTTTTGTTGCCCGCTGGTGGTTACGGAGGCCTACTTTGCTCCAAAACTTTTTTGTTGGGGATGAATAAATTATCTTCTTTAAGTAACTTCTTTATTAGAGAAACAATAGACTTTACAGATGTTTGCATACAAAGGATAAAATGCACTTATGATTTGTGGTATGATGATTAGGGAAAAAAAATCTGGATAATAGAAAAGGGTGAACTTTCTTTTGTAACCATAGAGCTTCTGTGGTTGTTTCACTTTCCTGTCCAATCAACTGCAGAAATTGGAAAGATAAATGCTTTGGATCGCAGAGGGAATATTAAATGCAGAATAGTGGGAACTTGCTTGCTTGTTAACGTAGCACAACTAACACGGGTTCTTTTTCTTTTTTTCTTTTTTTGCTTGCACAAAAGTTCAAAATGATGTGTGTGTCAAAAGTCACTTTTTCAGCAAAAGCGCGTCAGAAAAATGCTTCTTCGGATTTGCAAAAGTCCTTTCAGGAACGTAAGTTATAATTTCCCTTCTGACCCCCGAATTTCTGTCTCCCTGGCTCAACACTCTTTTCCGAGGAATGAAGTTCGGTCTGTCTTCTCCCTCCCCGCAAACCAGATGAGATAAACTCCCAGTTCCCGTAATGGTTAGCCGAGGGAATTGAAGTGCTGCAACGTTCTGGACGGACCCCGATTGAGAAGAGCTGATCTCAGCAGAACTCAAGTGCGTCAGGAGCGCGAGCGGGAGGGACGGGAAAGCTGAAACTCCCGTCGGCGCTTGGCGGTCGTCACGGCAACGTGAGCGGCCTGCGTGGGCTGGAGTTGGGGTCGAAATCCAAACGTTTTATTTCGGGTGAAATGCTCCTGGAGGGGGGAAACATGGAGATAGCACCGCCGCCTCTGTGAACGGACGACGGAACGACCTCTTCGTTTCCCTCATTTTGGAAAAAGAATTAGTTTGGACCCCGTTGAAGGTGGGTGGGCTCCCTTTCCTTGCGGTCCTTGACCCACTTTGCAGGGTTGTTGTGTAAATATGAACCTTTTGCTCCTCTGAGGGCTTGTGCAGAACAGCAGGCAATAAAACAAGTTAGAGACTGAACAGGGGAAGTGTCCACAGGTTCCCTGGCTGCTTAAAAACACAACAGCCCTGCAAGGTAGGCTGCTGGCCTTTCTCTCCGCTATTGCAGAGAGGTCAGCAGGAGAAATGTCTCTGGCAAATTATTTGCTTTGCATTTGCTAGATTTGCAGGCTACCATTTCCCCAGGGACCCAAGTGGGTCTTTCTCTGTACAACAGCCTTGTGAAGTAGACCAGGCTGAGTGATAATAACTCTCCAAAAGGCTCCCCGTGAGGTCCTTTGGCTGAGAGTGGAGTTGAACCAGGAATCAGGATACTTGGTGGACTTTTTCTATGAAAATAAACTGATTTTAGGGAAGCTTACTCTAGTCTAAGGGAAGTGGGCATCAGATTGTAATCTTAGCCAAGTGGGTCATTCCCATGGTATTTGCTCATGGTTTAATGTGTTTCCTTTTCTGCACCATCTCCCTGTCAGGTAGGCCTGCTACCGTATTGGTTTATTTAATGTGGCATGAAAAATGAGTACAGGTAGTCCTTGACTTACAGCCACAATTGAGCCTAATTGCTAAGCAAGACAGTTGCTAGGTGAGTTTTGTCCCATTTTGCTGGCTCTGACAGATCCCCAAATAGTATGGTTTAATTAAAAGAGTCTTTAAAAATACAATCAGGAAGAA